TATTTATTTGAGACAGAGAGAATGAGAGACAGAGAGCATGAGAGGGAGGAGGGTCAGAGGGAGAAGCAGACTCCCTGCCGAGCAGGGAGCCTGATGCGGGACTCGATCCAGGGACTCCAGGATCATGACCTGAGCCGAAGGCAGTCGCTTAACCAACTGAGCCACCCAGGCGCCCCGATTTATGCCTATGTTTTAAGAGTTTTGTAGTTTTAGCTCTTAACTTTAGGTCTGTGATTGATATTAATTTTTATATTTGCTGTGAGGTAGAGGTCCAACTTTATTCTCTTATGTCTGTATATTCAGTTGTTCTTTCCCCCATGGAATTGTCTTGGTATCCTCATTGAAAACCAATGGATGGTAAAAGTGAGGGGTTATTTCTGGAGTCTCAATTCTGTTCCGTTAATCTATATGTCTATTATTACTGCACAGTCTTGATTGCTGTTTTAAAATCCAAAGTGTGTGTCCTCCAACTTTGTTCTTTTTCAAGATTATTTCAGCTGTTCTGGGTCCCTTACATTTCCATATGATTTTTAGGATCAGTTTCTCAGTTTCTGCAAAGACACCAGCTGGGATTTTGATAGGATTGCATTAAATCTGTTAGTCATTTTTGGAGGCTATTTCCATCTTAATATTCACTTTTCTAATCCATGAATATGAGATGTTTCTCCATTTAGTTAGGTCTTTAATTTCTTTCAACAATGTAGTTTTCAGATGGTCCGTTTTACACTTCTTTTTAAAAATGTATTGCTAACTTTTATATTTGTATTTTTTGATGTAATTGTGAATGGAATTGTTTTCCTATTTTTATTTTCAGACTGTTCAAGGCTAAATTTTTTTGTATATTGATCTTGTATCTTGCAACTTTGCTGAACTCATTAGTTCTAACAGTTTTTTAGTGGACTCTTTAGGATTTTCTATATAGAAGATCATCTCATCTGCATATAGAGAGTTTTACTTCTTCCTTTCTGGATGCCTTTAATTTCTTTTTCTGGACTAAGTGTCCTGGCTAGAATCTCTGATACAGTGTTGAGCAGAAGTGGCAAGATCAAATGATCTTTTCTTAATGCTATTCTAATACTGATGAAATTAAGAACTTTTAAAATGAGCCCAATCCTCTCATTCCATTTGATATCATTAGTTGAGGGCTTACCCGAGGACATGGTCTGAAGAGTGAGAAGTGAGCGAAGGGGCCAATCCCCGTTTTAGGGACTCAGCCTTGAAGCAGTGCAAGTTTTTACATTTTTTTCCCCAAACACTGGTGATGAGGCTGACCTCTGCTTCCCCAGAGCAGTGGTCAGAGCCTGGTCAAAGCGACAGAGAGATGTGCACACATACTAAGTATGTGCACCTTTATAGCAGGTTACTTTATTGAAAGGATTAGAAGAATCTGTACAGTAACATGATAGCAAGCACTTACACTGAGCCACTCATAAATAATGACTACTTCAAGTTCCTACTTAAAAAAGAAAATAATTTCTAGTATTCTGTATGTTTTTTCTGATAGAAAATTTACAAAATACAGAACAGTGCAGATATATTAAGAAATCACTTATATCACAGAGATGACTGCTGTTAACATGGTGTCAGTAGCTTTCTATTATTTTTTCTATCTATACATTTGCATTTATATATTTTTACATAACGGAGAATTTGAAGTAGGTATAGATCATTTTGTAACTTCTGTTTTATCACCAAAGTTGGCAATGCACATTTTCGTATGACGGTGCTATCCAGAGGTCCTCTCTAGGCTAGTGGTTTCCTAGGGGCCTGGAATGGGATAAAGCAAATATGCTCGCTGATGGGTTTTTCCCTCCCTCCTCTGCTGTAGAAATTGGTGTGTTAGCCAAGACTTTCATTGACCAAGGGAAGCTCATCCCAGATGATGTCATGACTCGGCTGGCCCTTCATGAGCTGAGAAACCTCACCCAGTATAGCTGGCTATTGGATGGTAAGTGGTGTTAGAGCATTTCAGCTGTCCAGAATGATGAGCATGGACAGAGAATGAGCATTTCGTGGCTACAGACACACATCTGGTGTGGGGTGGGGGGTCGCGCTGAGTGCCGCCATTCACCACCCTGAGGTCTTGGGCCAGTCATCTTCTCTGGGCCTGCTTCTTCATCTGAGGAGAAAGACAAAAGTGGACCGCACGATTCCTATGCTCCCTTCAGATGTGACTCGTTCCTTCACCCTCCTTTCAGAATATTTTATGAGGACAGGGAAGGAAGGGTGGAAAGTAATTTGCAATCAGTTGTAAACTTTCTCCAGCCAGAAGTGTGGCAGGCACCTTGAGGAAAGGTTGATTTTTAGTTTTTGAAGAGAGAGAGCGGTATTTATTTATTTATTTATTTATTTATTTTAAGATTTTATTTATTTGCGAGAGGGAGAATGAGAGACAGAGAGCATGAGAGGGAGGAGGGTCAGAGGGAGAAGCAGACTCCCTGCCGAGCAGGGAGCCCGATGCGGG